CCTGGCTAGGCCCCTGGTTTGGCCTGGTTTGGCCGCGCGCCCTGACTGGGGCATCCTGAGAATTTGCCCAATCTGGACCGAGGTTTTGCTTTGTTTGGGCCTGATTTTGCTTGGGGTTTGGCCTGGCCTGGGCCCGGTTCCGCCTGGGGCGCCCTCGAAATGTGCCGGGGTTGCAATGGTTTCGCCCTGCGTGGCCCCGTCTCGCATCCGCCGTGATTCCCGTGCACTTCCATCGCGCAGGGGGGCGCGCCATGTCTCTGCGGTGCCCAGTGGTTGATTGGCGTGAGTCGTGGTGGGCGTTTGCAAGCAAAAATGACGACGGCGCGGTGTCATGAATGCCCATGGTGGTCCGCGCGTGCGACCCGACTGCGCTATGAATTGGAGGGCGGCATGGGCGTGGACATTCCCGGCGCGGTGTGGGTCGGCATGGGCGCGCGCGTGGAGGCGCTGGGGGGAAACCTGTCCGAGGCTGTAGTAGGCGCGAGGAGTTGTTGCGCCGTTGGCAGCGCGTCCTCCTCATTGTCCGCAATCTGGTGCTGGTTGTGGTCCGTCAGCTGGTCCTGCGCGTATTGTTGTGGCGCTGACAGAACGTCTGGATCGGCGGCATCTCTGTTGTTGTCTTCGTCCTCCGGTCGGCGCTCAGGAGAATCCCCGTCGCGCGGGTGGAATGTGTGAAGCCTTTATCTCCTTCTCGTCAGAGTGGAGTTCGGATTCCGCGTCGATGATCCCAGCTAGGGCTGCCTCCAGGTCCTCCTCTTCATATTTCCGCCCGGCGTCTTTGCCTCCCCCAGCAAAGTGTGGCTATGGTGAGGTCCGCATTCTGATGCGGTCAGATGGCGTCGCAGGTGCCTGTTGGGATGTAGCAATTGGGGAAATGTCAGCCTGTTGCGGTGTGGTCTTTGCGTGGGTTCTGCGTGGAACGTTTGGGCTTCGCGTAGTTCTTAATGAACATTGTATTCTGCGTGCTATCTCGAGATAGAGTGGTCTGATGTGGATTCCCCCGGTCCTCGGGGTTCCACCGGCCATTGAATGGTGACAGAAATTAGCAAGGTAGCGACATCGTCGTTCTTGATCGAAACTGCAATTCTAGTTCGCCCCGGCGCTTGGCAGATAGCGTCGCGCGTCGCTGCCTTGAACGCGGACTGCCTGTTCTTCCACTGGCCTTGATGCGCTGCAGCGTTGAATTCAAAGCGTTGTAGCATGCATTGCATATGGGCCATCGCTTCATGCAATGCCTGCTGTATGGTACTCGGAATTCAACGTATCTTTCCGGTCCTTGAATTGACGAAGCAGTTCTTGTATCCCCTGATCAATGTTACTCGGCGTGCTTCACGTGCCTGGCCATCCCAGCGCGCCCTGACCTTCTGCGTGGAGTAGTTTTGCTTGCCGGGCTCGTTCCACTTCATTTTTTTGTTATATATATAATATATATATATATTAAAAAAAGCTGTCGTGCGTATTCCTGGCGTGCTTGCAATCCAGATCGGCCCATTCGATGTGAATCTGGCTTCTGCATCTTGTAGTGATGAAGGGATTGTATTCCATGTTCTCGATTTTCTGCTCCAGCCTGGTCGCGTTTCGGGGCATGCTGTCCTCGGTGCCCCTTATATACTGGATGATGTCGTTCAGGTGCCGCATGTCCTCTTCTGCCTGTGCGAGTGCCTCATCGTCTTGCTTATTTTGTTCGACTGCAGTGAGTGCCTCCATCTCAATGCTCACGTACTTAGTTGTGCTTCTTTCTGAGCTGTAACAGTCTCTTGTTTGGCTTCCGAAGTTATGTCTGTTCATTGGCGAGTAGCGTGTCCCTTTCGATAATTGTTTTGCGCAGTGCCTGTCCCTCGTGGAAATCGTCGGTCGTACTTCGACTGCTGCTTCTGTGGTTATTCATGTCTGCGTAGCACGTGGCAACTTCGGTTGTGAGGTCTTGTATCTGGTTCCACATGGTCTGCTGTGCCTGGTTACCGCAGACTCGATCTCCTGCTGGTAGGCCTTGTGCGTGTCGAGGTGGTTGCGCTCGGCTGGGCATTCGACCTTGTCGATCTCGCCTTGTGGGAGTGGCGCTTGTGCTACCACCTCCTTTTTGAAATTATCCGTGTCGGTTTCGATCTGGCCATTGTGTTAGGCATTTTCGTTTTCGAACTTTTGCTCGAACTTCTGGTGATTCTCCGTTGGAATGGAATCTTGAGTGTTGTGGGTACCAGGCTTGAAGAATTCCTTCAAGATCCTATATGTATCGTCTTGCCCAATCGGGGTCTGTATCGGGGGGCTTGTCGTCCCGTGTTCTTGAAAGCTAGGGCGCCAGTGGCTGGTCTTGAACTGCGCGCATATCTGGGGCCAGCAGTGACGTCGTTGGCCTTTATCTGTGCCGCCTCGATCTCTCTGGAGATACTTGTGAATATGTCGTCGTTCGTGTTCTTGTCGTGCTCGATCATTTGAAGCTTTCTGTCCAAATTCTCTCTCGTCTTGATGTGTGGTTGGTTTTCTTTGCCTGTCGCTGCTTGAGCCTGAGGTCGGCCGGCTTGATTGGCTGCACCGTGTAAGTGATGCAGGTGATGCTTTCGGAGAGGTGCTAGTCTGTTTGCCGTGCCTCTTTGTTGGCCATGTATGACGTCGCCAACTTGTGGAGCTTCTTGTGGCATTGCACTCGGAAATTGTAGTAGTCATCGGCGTTCTCCGAGGTAGGTGCGCATTCTTTGTTGGCCACTGTCTCTTCTTGCCATGGTTTTGTTTGTTTTCTCAGCCGGTACCGATGGCTGTCTTCCGAATGAAGTGTGTTGGTCGTTGTTTTCGTCCTTGTTCTTCCAATGGTTACTAGAATGGCTAGAATGGCACATCCAGATTCTGCTTCGGTACAATCTGCGCACAATCACATTTCCATGTATCTCTTTTGTCGTTGTATTTGTTGTCCTGGCTGGGTCTGCCCCTGCTGTATTCTCTGCCGCGCCGCTTGTCGTGGTAGGCGACCTTATCGGGAACGCGGTGCCTGTTGCATGGCGCCATTGATCCGTAGTGCTGGTCAAGCCGTTCTCTCGCAGCAGCGTGCAGCAATTAGTTAACGATTTTGAAACCGTTGGGCACGCATTCTTCTGTGCTCGGCCCTCTCGGGGCTCCTTTTTTCCCTGAGTGCTACAGGGCTGTTTTATGGGTCAACGTTTGGTCGTAGAAATTGTAGGCGCGCATGTTGTGCTTCCCACGTCGATGCTCCCCTGGTGGGTAACGAAATAGTTGCGGTAGACCGTCTCCACGTGGTTGACGCGGTAGATTAGGATGTGCCCTTTCTGGTGGATGATGCTGTGTCCTTGGTTGTGTTGTAGACGTAGCAATCCTATCTGGTAAGGGATCAAGTCCACGTTGTACGCGCGCCCCCGATAGCGGCTGGCGCGCTGAGGCCGGCCCACCCCCTGTTTCTCGGCGCGGCGGCGCGGGGGCCTGTGGCTAGAACAAGCCTTCCTCCTCCTCTGCATCCTCTCCTCCTGTTCCTCCTCCTCCTCCTCCTCCTCCTCCTCCTGTCCCCTCCTCCTCTCTCCCGCCCTGCGCCCTCCGAAAGCCGCGCGCCAAGGGCCATTCTGGCGAATTGCCACCCTCCCGCCGTGCAACCGACCCCGCCGGGGCCCCCACCTCTGGCCAAGGGGCGAGGCTGGCGAGCTCCCTCGGAGCAGCGCCCCGCCCCCGCCGACGTCTCCATCGGCGCTCCCTGTGGCAGCACAGCCATGGTGCTGCCAAGGGAGGAGGGGGCTCCTTCTCCTCCTCCTCCTCCTCCTCCTCCTCCTCTTCCTCCTCCTCCTGCTGCTCTTCCTCCTCCTGCTGCTGCTGCTGCTGCTCCTCCTCCTCCCCCTCCCTCCCTCCAGGGCTCCTCACGGCCCACGACGAGCCTCGGCCACGAGCAGGCTCTCTCCCCGAGAACTGGGCCTGACGAGCGATCCGAGAGCCTGGGCCCCTCTGGAACCCGAGGCGGCCTCTGCTTTTCAGCGCCCTGGCCGTGCAGCGCATGGGGCCCGATAAAACTGGAAGGGCCAGGGGAGGGCCGGGCGGAGGGCAGGAGGAAGAGGGCCGGAGGACGAGCAGCCTCGGGAGGAGAGGATGGCGCAGGACTTGATCGGAGGAGGGGCGAGCAGCACGAGGAGCTCCTGGGTGAGGAGCAGGACGGTGCTGATGATGCTGCCGCTGATGGTGATGGTGAGGATGACGAGGATGACGATGATGATGACGATGATGACGAAGATGGTAATGATGATGCTGATGGTGATGGTGATGATGATGCTGATGATGATGGTGATGGTGATGACGATGATGATGCTGATGATGATGGTGATGATGGTGATGATGAGGATGATACGGAGAAGGACGAGGAAGAGGAGGGAGAGGAAGAGGGGGCAACCGCCACGACAAACGCCCCAGCCTGGCTCCTGCTGACCCTTCTTCGGAGAGCCGGGTGGTTGGACGCCGCGGAGGACCCCCGTTGTCAAAGAGCGTGCACATGTGCCAACCTGCGTTGACGGCTGAATCGTGTCTCCTCGCTCCCGGGTTATGGAACTTGGCACGCCCTCTGCTGCCGCTGTAGCTTTTCCAGCATGGGTTCTGGCCGGCGGCCCGCTGACGCAAGAGTGCGCGTAGATTTTGCGTGATTTTTCTGCGCCTGCGCGCGCTATTCTCTCCCAAGGGTCTGTGCGGAGGATTCTCGATGTACACCGTGCGGGAGCATATCACTACACGTCAGCCGTGGGTGGGCCAGCGTGCATCGACACGGGACCTCTGCGGATTAGGCGTATGGATCAGTAGCGCCGCTGCGCGCGAACGCTTCGACACTAGATGCCGTATCCTTCTCCCTCGTTGCCAAGTCCTTTGTCTTCTCCTCATGCCTGCCATCTCAGTCCGTCGCTTATGTGAAAAGAACTTGCCAAGCCCCCGCACCACCAAAAAGGAAGAGGAAGAAACGCAAGCACGCAAACCATGACAAACAAAGCTTCAAACGGACAATCTCCGTGGCAACCCGGCGCGGCCTTTTGTAGATGTATGCCGTGGTCAACCAGCGCTGTGTTGAACCCTACCAATTCGACGCCACCTTCGAGAGATTTCATAAGCTGGATGTAGGATACAATACTAGGGAGATGCAAGTTAGTTGGTCAATAAAAGGAACCCATATATAATAGTGCTAGATCGTCAACATTGCTTGTGCTTACTTGAGCTGCATACCTTTCTTGTACTTCCACTTCTTGTCGATTCCATCGATGGCAGGCATGACGACATGTTCACGTCCCTGGGAGATTCGGTACATCAGCGGCTCAAGCCAACCTGCCCGGCCCTCCAGGTTTCTGAAATTCGCTAGGGAAGACATCTATATGAAATGCAATGCCTGTATCTGTTTCCTCACCTTTCTACAGGTACGTCATGTGCGAGTCCTCTTCCGATGCTCCTCCATAAGCCGCTCTGGAACAGGTGGGCGTGAAACTACAATAGTGCTCAACGCAAAATGCTTTGGGACACGCTGTAGCATCTTGGACAACCCGAAAAATCCCTATATCACCTGAACCCTGCATTTTCCTAGGGGGGCATGCCGTGAAACGGTTCATGTGTAAAGATTCGGGATGTAATCTTTAGAACCGGCTGCGACAGAGCAGTCCTCGGAAGGGCCTCTGGAGCTGTCGACCCCACGACGGCTCCCGAGACCGCTGTTGGGCGTCCAAGAGGCGCCCAAGAGCCCCCGAGAGGCTCCCAAGAGATCGCAAGACGCCTCCAATAGGCCTTTTGTCGACGATCCTGTCGCGGTGGCAGGATGGGCCCGAGGCCACTGAATAGCAAGCATGAGCTGGTTGAAAAGGGGCCACAGCCAAGCAACCCGGCCGCGTCACACAGGAGGCGCGCTACCTGGGTTGGATAGCGCGCCCGAGGGAGGGAGGTGGGCGTACCACCTGGGGTCGATGGCGCGCCCAGAATGAAATTACCTAACCGGTGCGCTAGCAGGTGGAACATAAGCAGGGCACTTCCTGGGATAGAAAACATCGCGCCGTACTGAAGGGCCCTGGACAAGAAGCTGCTTCCGTGAAACTGTCCAGGACTGTGACCACGTGGTGTCCGTCGTGTAGGGCGACCCGGGCTTGCACACACACACACACAGACACGAACGCGCACACACACATACACCACGCACACAATTACACCACACACGCCACACACCACACCCACCCACCCACCCACCCATCCACCCACCCTCACAAACACAAACACACAGACAGACAGACAGACCGACAGAAAGACAGACAGACAGGCAGACAGACAGACAGACAGACAGACAGAAAGACAGACATACAGACAGACAGACAAACAGACAAACATGCAGACAGACAGAGAGACAGACAGACAGACACACACACACACGAACCTACAAACACTTTGAAACTCCGCTGGCGATGTGGCACCACAATCGCGATCAACACATTAAACGGGCAACGCACCCATTGATTGCCAAGCTGCGTCTGAAGGCAACACTCGAAAGCGAAGACGAGCTGGGAAGGACGCCTCCGGGGAGGGAGCGGCCAGATCTGTACCAGATCGAGGCCGCACGCGGACACTCCTCTCCAGGTGGGCTGGAAAGATGCAAGTGCGAATCCGAGCTAAGACCACTGGCGACTGTACAGCGAAGGAAGGTAAGCAAGAACATGCGAAAGTGCATGGCCCGAGCTCCCAAAAGGGGAGGCGCCGAGCCCGAACGCCATGAGGGCAGCACCGGGAAGGAGAGCAGAGGCAGCAGAAGGGGAGAGCGCGGGCGGCTTCGCACCGAGACCTGCGTGCGGAAAGTGCGACATGCCCCGGGCCGACCCCAGGTAACGCGGACCCAAAGAGGAGGAGGAGGAGGAGGAGGAGGAGGAGGAGGAGGAGGAGGAGGAAGAGGAGGAGGAGGACGGGCGTCAAGCGAATTCTCCCAGAGGCCGCTCGTCGTCGGTCAGCGTCGGAGGCGGTGGGCCAGAGAACCGTAGGCGATTACAAGCGTGGGCCAGAGACCATGTGCAGCTGAAAAATGGAGGGTGCGCGCTAGGTCGTAGATGGTAGGTCCAATTCAGAAATCGTCTGGAGGATGGCGCGCAGCTGCCCGGATCCGGTGTGGGATTCACGACTCAACTGCCCGAATGATGCAATGGTCGCGCGCATGTGACCAAACGTGGGCACGTAGTGATCGAGCTCAGACGAATTAAGTCGATCGTAGGGTCGAGATGGCAACCACAAACATCACATATTTCTCGACATCTTGAATCAGCGCGACCGCTAAGGCGACAGACCGCTGAACCTGGGGATGTGGGGGTTCATGCCAAGACAAGGCGACATGAACTGATCGTATATCCAAAGGCCTGCGCTCAGAACTGGGCCTAGCCGAGCCGATCTCAGATGGGCTTATGCATCCAATGCTTCAGAAAATCCCAAAGTGGGCTGACGCAGCTCTCCCCGACTACTGGCATGTGACAAAAATTAAGCACGAACCATAGGAATGAACGGTCGAGCAACTATGGCCATACTGTTCACATCGATCATGCTACAACTGTCTGCATGAACCCTGGCATGTGTGCAGCAATCTGTGTTCGTCACCCCATGACAGCCTTCTGAGCAGCTAACGTGCGAGTCGAGGACCGTAATCGTCTGGCCAGTTGCCACTTTGGCTCCTCGCGTTTTTTTCGGCACAATATGTGAGCTCGCATGATTTGCCATTCTTCTGTTCCGCCTCCCCAGCCTGCTTCCTGCTGCCACCTACAGCGCTCTCCAGAAACTAAAGACTACTTCGCAGATCTGCGTAGGCTTGCGGCTACCACGCCGAAGTAAGCACACGTACGTAGTCACTCAATTTGGCCATGTCTGACTGTGACATTTTGTAATTGTTCCTCGCCCTAAGGAGACTGCAAACAGGCCGCCTTGAGCGCATCTTCGGGCTTTCCGCGGCTTCCTGGGGCGACGCAAGGTGACACAAACCACGCATGATACATGTGCTTCGTGTACTGCTAAGTTGGCCTCCCAAGACCTCCTTGAGGGTGTCGTTACAGGTTTTCGGTTTTTGGGGCGACTCTTGGGGCTTCTCTGGCGCCTGCTGGGATCTTCTAGGGGCAACAGAGTCTCTCTTGAGGTCGTCTTGGGCCATCTCCGCCGTCTTAGAGGCTGTCTGAGGCAATCTTGTAAGCTGCATGGTTCATCTTGGAGGCTTTGGGAGCCGCTGGGGTGGCGTTGGGGTGCCCAAGTCGGCTCAGAAGATGGGGGTCATGCGATCGAATACGCCCAAATGCTGGCAACCCTCTTTGTGATACTTACACGCATCTAGCCACACAATCTGGGCATCACACCACTTCCTAACCTGCACACAACATGGTAACGCCCAAGTCGGCTTCCAGACGGACCAAGACCTACGAAGACGGCTCTGAGGCGGCCCGCAATCGGCCCAAGGCGGCCTCGAAACGCCCGCTAGACGGCCCCATAAGCTTCCAGGACTTCCCCAATAACCTCCCCGACGGCCGCACAACCCTCTAGGATGGGCCATCCCAAGATGGCCCGAAAGCACCCAAGAGGGCCCAGAAAGGCTCTAAACCTAAGACTGCCCAAGCGGCCCCCAAGAGCCCCCCAGATGCCCCCAAGAGGCTCCGTGGGCCCCCCAAAAGGCCCCCAGTCGGCCCCAAGAGGGTCCTAAGAGACTTCTTCCTCTTCCCTCTCCTCGTCCTCCTTCTCCTCCTCTCTTTCTCGCCCAAGTGTTCCCCCAAGGGCTTCCACAACAGCTTGGGGAGCACATCAACGAAAAGCTTGGCCAGGCTGAGGCCGAACGTATGTCAACATATACGCTTCCTCAAGGCAGGCCGTGGCCGTGGTTCCCAGTAGGGGTCTTCGAAAGAAACGAATCGGTTCGGCATTATGTTTATTTTTTCAAGACGTCCGGATCTGAGGGTCCTCCCCCTCCTCCTCCTGCTCCTCCTCCTCCTCAATCTCCTCCTCAATTCTGTCTCCTGATGAATAACTCCTCCCTGTCGCACCCCGAGGCCTGTCGGAAGGGCGGGCCGGGCGCTTCGCCTGAGACTGCCTCATCTTTTGTGATCCCGAAGCTGAGAGAAACGGGCAACCATTTCGCAGATGGAGGGCGGGCCGCTTCCAACATGTGGCTCTCGCCTTGGCGCCACGCGCATTCGTCTTACAATATTGCTGGAGATTCACGGGTTGAGGGCGGGCCGTTTCCAAAATGTGGCTCTCGCCTTGGTGCCGCGCACGCTCGTGTTGAACATTTGCAACAGCTTCCCTGATTGAGGGCGGGTCGCTTTCAAAATGTGGCTCTCGCCTCAGCACCGCGCGCATGAAACATTGCAAGCGTTTCGCGGATTGAGGGCGGGTGGTTTCAAAATGTGGCTCTCGCCTAGCGCCGCGCACAGCCGTCTTACACAATTGCAAGAGCTTCGCGGGTTGAGGGCGGGTCGTTTTCAAAAAAAAATGGCTCTCGCCCTAGCGCCGCGCACACTCGTGTTTAACAGTGCAAGCGTTTTATCGATTTCCATGTTCATCGTACCATTTTGTTTTGGTTGTTTTTTCTTTTCCTCGAACGATTCAGGATTGCCAGGGCTCAACAGTTACATTATTCGTGGTGTCGAAGTCCCAGGATGGTGCCCTGGCGCGGTTCAGGATCGTCAAGACGCAACAGTCAAACTGATTCGTGGCGTTGGAGTCCCAGGAAAGGTGTTTTGGCACGCTTCAGGATCTTCAAGCGGTTTTCTCCCAACTTGGCACTTCCCTGAGTTGAAATAAGTCCTTGTAAGGGTCTATGAGGAGGGAGCTTGGAGGGAGGGTTTATTCTGACATCCTTCATGAGTCTTGGGTTTGCGCTGGACCTTCTCCTCCTCCTCCTCCTGCTCCTCCTCCTCCTCCTGCTCCTCCTCCTCCTCCTCCTCCTTCTCCTCCTCTTCCTCCTCCTCCTCCCCCGGTCCGGCAACGCGGGCGCGCATCAGCCCCGAGCGGTAGCCCTGGCGCACGATCCGCACTGGCACCTGCCGCGCGGAGGAATCCATGTGGGCGAGGGACCCGGCGCCCGCTCCAGTTCCTCCTCCTCATGCCTCTCCTCCTGTCTCTCCTCCTCCTCCTGCTTCCTCCTCCTCCTGCCCTTCCTGCCCCTCCTCATCCTCCTCCTCTCGTGGCTCGTGGCCCCTGCCGATTGTCGATCCTGGCTCCTCCACGTCCACTGCTCGGCCACACGCAAGAGTGACCCTAGGCAAGAGTGACCTTTCGTGCGCGGCCAACGGGGGGCCCTTGAGGACACCACCAGGCGCGCAAGCTGCTGCTATCGCATCGCATTCAGCGATCGGGGGGCCCAATTGGGCCCGCACCAGAGGCCACCCTGGAGAAAGGTCACTCTTGCCCGTCCCCTCTCACCTGGGCGGCCTGGGAAAGCTCACTGGCGTTGCTGCCCGCCGCCCGGCTCCCTCCTGCGGCCACGTGGCGCTCCGGCTCCCAAAGCGGAGGCCCGCTCGAGGAACACCAGGACTTGCCATCGCTCGGACGTCCACTTCCCATGCATTTGTCGGTTCCGTGCTTCTTGTTGTTGTCGTCGTCGTCGTCGTCGTTGTTGTTGCTGTGTGTATCCGCAAGATGATCCAGGCTGCTCCTCGATCCCTCGGTGGCCCCCGACGAGACAACATGCACACGCCCGAGCGATGCCAGGCCAGAGGAGGAGCAGGAGGAGGGCGACAGTGCATGAGCGCAGTGATGCCTTCTGCCAGGAATAGAAAAAGCACATAAACATAAACTTTTGGCGCTCCGCGCGGATTTCTTGGATCCGTGCTGGACACCCCTCCCTGGCGCGCGCAGCGCGACAAGGGGCGGCCTCCGGAGGCGCGGCCAGGGTGGGGGGACCCAGGCGCGGATCCATGAAATCCGCGCGGAGCGCCAAACGTTTATGTTGATGTGGCTTTTCTTCTTCGAAGGATTGGGGTCCACCAAAAGGGGGGGGACCCTGAGGGGGGGGTGAGTTCGATCCGCTGGTGCATCGAATTTCCGGAAAAAGATGTCCCCCGCGCGCCCCGATTGTCGACGCCTCTCGGGTTCCGGCGGCGGCCGGAGACCTCGTTTTGCATCGCTTTTCTGCGGTCCGATGCGCCAGCGGACCGAACTCACCCCCCCGCCGTGGGACCCCCCCCTCTGCGAGGCCCCGCAAGGAAGCTGGAGCCGCACGTGCCCGGACTCGCGCGCAGGTCGCGCAGGGGCCGCCTGCCGGAGGGCACGCGCCCAGGGCCCAGCGCTGGCCTAACCGTGCGAGGGCCGAGCGCTGGCCAGACAGGCGGCTGCCTGCGGGTCCCGCTGCCTCGCGCCGCGGGCGGCGGTGCTTCTCGAGGCTTTTAGGTCGGGCCTGTCCCTCTACAGGGGAAGTGTTCCAAAGTAGTCGAAAAATAACCTGGGGAAGATTCTTGGATAATTATTCTATAACGTTATTGTTATGATTCGTTCAAAATCCGCCTGTATGAGGACATGCCCGACCTAACTCAAGGCACGCAACACTCAAGCCGTTCACCCTCTGCCGTCCATGCAAGCGGCTGACTTTCATACTGCTCCGTGTGCTGGACCTTTCCCTCCCCACACCGGCAGCGTCTTCGCCCAGTCCTCAAGGGGCTTCTGGATGTGCTCTGCGCTGGAACCGTCGTCCACCAAGATGAACTCGTGCAGTAAATGCCTGGGTGACCGTTCGATGACGGAATATATAGAATTGTACAGAGAGTGCGCGGGCTCGTTGCAGAACGTGAAGATGACAGAGGTGTTCGGCAACGCCCCTCGCTACCCAACCAGTTGCAAGAAAAGCGTTGCTCATGTCTCTCTGCGCTGTTCCCTAGTCATCCTTCTTCGAACCCTTCGACTCCATGTCTGAATGCCAACGTGCGCGCCACACTCCGTGCTTCTTCGAATGGCGCGCTGATCTTCTCTGACGTTCTACATCGCACGCTGTCTTCTCAACAACGCCTGTCTCCCGCGTCATCTGCTGATCTCGCCCGAGCTCTACAAAGCCGCCGCGAAGCTGGAAGTCTCTGGCGGTCACGGGGAGGCTCCAGAGGCCTGGAACGGGCCGACCAACCAGTCCTGAAGTGGCAAAGGCGTGCAATAGCCTCAATCCCTCACAGCAAGTCAATAGCTCGCGTGACAAGATGTTGCGAGGCGAGTGTCCTACCAATCGGCTACACGCAAGAGCCACCCTGGGCAAACGTGACCTTTGGTGCGCGGCTTCAGGAAAAGCGACCCTGGGGAAACGTGACCTGTGGTGCGCGGCTTTAGGGGACCGCGGTGGGGCCAAAGCCAAGCGCGCCAGCCAATGTTGGGGTGACCCCTGGGGGCCCGCACCAGAGGTCACTCTGGCGAACGGCGATTCCCACGCGCAGCCGAAGAAGCTGCGATGCCGGAAGAAACCGCGGAGGCTCACCACCGAGCGGGGCCCTTCCTGGGCTTGCTGGGGCGAGGCGGGCGGTGGCCGCAGGGGCGAGCTGCCCTGCGGCCGCGCCGCCTGCCCATGCTCCCAGACATCCGAGGATCTGACTCTTTCCGTGCGCGGCCCCAGATAAGACGAAACCAGAACGAGGATAAAATTTGGGAAGGATCAAGCGAGACTCTTCGAGAGCCGGCGACTCTGGAGGATGTCTCGGGCGCCGCGGCCTTCTTAGAGCGTGCCAGAATGCTCTGGAACAGATTTATCCTCGTCTTAGCCCCGTCTGGCTCAAGGTCCTGACCTCCTTTCCCCGGGGGTACTTGTCAGCCCCACATCCACTCCTTGTCGTCTTCCGTCCCGGGTCCACTCTGGCCCCAAGGCCCGATGAACGGGCGTCAGAGGCCGAGATCGATGAGAAAGGCCGGGGTTGAAGCTATCCTGGCGAAGGACCCAACCATATGCTGTTGTGAGTGCCGCAATAATGAATATCGTCTTCGGCGAAGCTTCCTATGGGGGGACGACGCGTGTGAGTGGTGTGCCGAAGCGGAAGTGGAATCGCATGGGAAACCTCCCACTGCGGCCTTTGGTGGGGCTCCCTATGGGGCCCGAACTGGTGGTGGAAACGCATGCGAACCCTGCCACTGCGGCCTCTGGTGGAGTTCCCTATGGGGGTACGACACGTGTGAGGGGTGTGCCGAAATGGGGGTGGAACCGCCTGCGAACCCCGCCACTGCGGCCTTCGGTGGAGCTCCTTATGCGGGCACGCAACGTGTGAGTGGTGGTGGAACCGCATGCGAACCCTGCCACTGCGGCCTTCGGTGAAGCTCCCTATGGGGTTGCGAAACGTGTGAGTGGTGTGGTGGAACCGCCTGCGAACCCCGCCACTGCGGCCTTCGGTGGAGCTCCCTATGCGGGCACGCAACGTGTGAGGGGTGGTGGAAACGCATGCGAACCCTGCCACTGCGGCCTTGGGTGGAGCTCCCTATGGGGGCCACGAAACGTATGGTGTGCCGAACTGGGGGTTGAACCGCATGCGAACCCTGGAACTGGGGCCTTCGGCGCAACACGCCATGGGGGCACGAAATGTGTGAGTGGTGCGCTGGACTGGGGGTGGAGCTGCATGCGAACCGTGCTGCCAGGGCCTCCGGTGGAGCTGGGCCCCGAGGCGTATGAGGGGTGTGCCGGATCGGCGTGCGGATGGCAGGGGCACGGGCGGGAGGAGGGAGAAAGGGGGGGGAGGAGGAGAAGAGGATGACGCGGCGCACTGCCTTCTGAACATGAGGACCCAACACCACTGGATGGTCGGGGAAGATCGTGCCGTCGAAGATCTGGGACCATGTCAAGAAAACAAGCACACGAACAACCCGAGATCCGCTCGACATCGGCTCCCACATCCCTCCCAAGGTCCATCCTGATCCGTTGAGTACTCGAGGCGGATCTAGCCGTGGCGACGAGAGGCCTCCAGGAGGCCCAGAAAACCGAAAGACGGCAAGGAATGCCGCCGTTGTCACGACTGGCCATCCTTCGAGCCTGGGCTTTGCGATCGCCCCCTCGGGCCGCGCCCCTCCACGCAGCTCCTCTGGGGTGCTGGCCGTCGGACCGTCTGAGCGGTCCCCGCGCCCCGCCTCGCGCCCTGTGCCCAGGGGGGGGGGGGGGGGGGGGGGGGGAGGAGGGGGAGGGGGAGGGAGGAGGAGGAGGAGGAGAGGAGGAGGAGGAGAGAGGAGGAGGAGGAGGAGGAGGAGGGGAGGAGGAGGAAGAGGAGGAGGAGGAGGAGGAGGAGGAGGAGGAGGAGAGGAGGAGGAGGAGGAGGAGGAGGAGGACAACGGCTGCGTCTGTTCCAGGCACGAGAGCCACCATCGCCAATCGCTCAGGAGGCGGAGGAGGCGGAGGAGGAGGAGGAGGAGCGCAGCGTAGGAGGCGAGTCAATCCCACCCCACTAAGGCCCACCCGCCTCATCGGGCTGGGGCAGCGGACGGCGGCAGGGCGCACCAGCCTAGTGCTGGCCGAACTGCTCAGTGTCGTGCACGGCGTGCACGTCGGAAGATATTGTTTCAATCAGCGGCGGCATGAGATTTTTATAATCTCTCTCTGTCAGAAGGTGAGTGGGGGCAGCAGCAGGCGGAGGAGGAGGAGGAGGAGGAGGATGAGGAGGATGAGGATGATGATG